AGTTTGTATAATCATATTAAATAATCTGAATTAAATGCGATAATTAAGGGATTTTGTTATAATTAATGGAAATATGAAAAAATCTTGGAATATCTTTCCATTACTCGATTTTTTTTTTTGATTTTGTCATTAACCTCTTTTCATTAATATTTTTTTTTACATAATAAGAAATTAAAACGGATCAAAACTAACTCTAATTCATAAAATTATTATATAATAAAGTGATCAAATTACATATATATTTTGTTTGTAAAACATTCTTATTGTTGATCCTTGCTTAAGTAGTACACCACATTACTCTTTCTCCAATAATACTTTCACGCTTAAAAAATAAGATCAAATCAAAAGAGGATTGCTATAAACTTCTATTTTCCTTCAAGAAAAAATAAGCAAATTAAATCAAGAACTTATATATATATATATATATATATATATATATAAAATTAGTTAAAACTAAAACATACATAGAAAAGAAGTATAAGGAATCACTAAATATAAAATACATTAAATAAATAAAAAAATATTATATGATGTCATTGTTAGCCATAGAAAACCCCGTAACTGTTAGAAAATATTTTGAGATTAGAAAAATTATACTTACCAACCAAAATCCGTATCCAGAGTTTTGTAAAGGCTTATATCATAAAAACAATGAAAACCAATAACATTAGAATAATTAAAGTTAAGAATTAGAATTTTATTTTATTGAAAATTTATTTTTCTTCCTACCTTAAAGAAAATGAATTAAAAGAGTGAACTTGTTAGCCTACAAAATAAAATCATTAACAAACATCATGAAGAAATTAAACATGAAAATGTAAAAAAAAAAATACTGAACACTAAAAACAAAAATAGTATACATGATGATTAGAAGAAGGACTAACTAACCTTTTATTGCATACCTTCTTTAATAGTTTATAAGAGATGAAGTTGATGATCTCCATAGTTTTCCAAAATTTCGATGAAACTGAAACAAATTTCGATCAAGTCAATGGTAGTGATACATCCTCATGATCGTCTCTCATACATACATGCATAAATAGACAAATAATAATATGTTAGAAACGACAAAGCTTCATAAAATTATAAATAATAACAATATAAAGAAATATGAACTAAAAACGAAATTATAGGTTTGGCGGAATGAATATTTTGATTAGTGGAATAGCATGATCTTATATATATAGTGAAGTAGACCGTGCTGGTTTAGGGTTTTCAAGAGGAATATTCTGTTTATCTTGCTTTAAATGTTTTTAATTATTTACGTTTTAAGAAAATTTTATAGTTAATTCTTTTTGTAAACTTGTCGAAGAATTATTAATACTCAAATCGTAAAGATATTTATGAGAGTATCTTTCTATTGTATATTCATTACTTTTATATATTTATTGTTACGATCTATTTTAAGTAATCTATATTTATGTCAAAGAATAAAAATTAATTTTTTGCTAAACTGATTCGAAATTGATTTTCAAATGATTATTCTTTCCAAAATCTTAACTAAAGATTTGAGCATTAAACGTTTTTAAAGTAATGATATATAGAGTAATTGGTTTCTTTAAAATCGAGATTTACGCAAGATTTTAGGAACAATAGATGAGATAAGGTATGTGATAGTAATTAGTTTAGATTGTGGAAATATTCGAAATCAATTAGAGATAAAATTTATTACGGTATGATTAATGTGGCTATTAGTTTAGGTAATATTAACAAAATTTATTCTGCGATTTATGATTGGCCAAATAAGGGATTAAAATTATTACAAACTTCCTAAAAATTTTTATCCAAGATCCGGATATAGTTAAACCCAGGTAAAACCCGGATCCAAATGAATTAATGCAAAAAAACCCTGTAAAAATGTATATGTAGATAAATAAATAATTCAGACAAACGACAAAGGTATCATAATAACCAATCTGTACTTAATTTGATTTTCTTTTGATTTATTGAAACTGCGTGGGAGATGATTACTTAAATATTTAATGTTTTATCCTCTTACACAATACATTTTCTTTTATCCTTATGTTTGTACTACCTTTTTATGTCGGCAAGATTTTCTTAACGGTTATTATAAAGAGACCAATCCACTTACTTTCTCTCGTATAACACATAGATATAGAACCACAGTAAATTCAATGTTTCATGTTACCCAATTAGTAGTTGAGTTGTGAGGCTTCTTAGGTTTGTAGAAGTAGAAACGTATGTCAATCTTTATTGTTTCTACCGTTTGTATTAGTTTTTGTGAGTAAAAAAAAATCTACCTTAAGCGTGAAAGTAAACAAAACTCTCAGCATTTTCTGTATATTCCGGTAACTCCACGCCGTCGGCGAGAATCCAAATATTTCTTTAGTTTTTTTTTTCTTTTAACGTAAACAAAAAAAAAAAACACCCCACGAGCTGAGCGTTGAAAAGTTTATTGACTCTTTTCTCTCTCAAAAATAAAAATGATTTCTTCATTAAAAAATTAGCAAAGCGAACCTAAGTATAATCTTTCACCTAAATCTCATTTCAAAGGACCAAACACAAAAAAAAAACACCTAAATCGATCTGTGAAGTCAAACACTTTCCAGTTTCCGATTTTTGAATATGGCAACACCGGAGAATCATCATGGCGATAGTTCCGATTTAGAGACTGCGGAGAAGATAATACTCCGTTGGGATTCAACAACATCTGAAGAAGCTAAAGAGAAGAATCTGATTTTCCAAAGCGGTGGTGATCGAGACGAAGTAGATCGCTACTTGAAAGCTGTCGATGAACTTCAAAGACACATCTCTTCAATCTCAATCTCCGATGAAGTCAAAGCAGCTAGCTCAACGATTCAAATCGCCATGGCTAGGCTTGAAGACGAGTTCAGAAACATCTTAATCTCACAGACTTCTACTTTCGAACCTGATTCTCTTCTTCTCGATTCATCGCTATCTTCTTCCTCTTTCGCTTCTTCTTCGCATACCGAGCTTGAAGATGATGGTAACGTCGAAGAAGAAGAGCAACAACAACTAGTGGATCTGGTTTTACCAGATGAGTCCGGTTCAGATTCCGGTTCGAGACGGTTATCGAGGAGTAGAAGGAGTAATAGCAAATCCACAAGCAGTATACGAGAGATCGATCTTGTATCGCCGGAAGCTGTTTCTGATCTGAGATCGATTGCTCAGAGAATGATCGGAGCTGGTTACTCTCGTGAATGTGTTCAGGTATACGGAAACGTGAGAAAATCCGCCATGGAAATGATTTTTAAGCAGCTAGGGATTGTGAAATTAGGGATTGGAGATGTGCAGAGGCTTGATTGGGAAGCTGTGGAAGTGAAGATTAGGAGATGGATCCGTGCTGCGAAAGTTTGCGTTAGAGTTGTTTTCGCTAGCGAGAAGAGACTCTGTGAGCAGATATTTGAAGGAACCATGGAAGAGACATGTTTCATGGAGATTGTTAAAGGCTCTGCTTTGGAGCTTTTCAATTTCCCTGAAGCTATAAGTATTAGTAGAAGATCACCTGAGAAACTATTCAAGATTCTTGATTTACATGATGCTTTAACTGATTTGTTGCCTGATATGGAAGAGATTTTCGATTCGAGTTCATCCGAATCGATTCTTGTTCAAGCTACAGAGATTCAATCAAGATTAGCTGAAGCAGCAAGAGGGATACTCACTGAGTTTGAGAATGCGGTTTTTCGTGAACCTTCGGTTGTTCCTGTCCCTGGAGGAACTATACATCCTTTGACAAGGTATGTGATGAATTACCTTAACTTGATCTCTGACTATAAGGAAACGTTGATCGATCTCATTATGACGAAACCATGTCGGGGTTTGCAATGTACCAATGATCCAAACAATCCCGATATGGATATCTCTCAGCTTGAAGGAATATCTCCGTTAGCTTTGCATATGATATGGACAATGGTGATGCTACAATTCAATCTAGAAGAGAAGTCTTTGCATTACAAAGATGAACCTTTATCTCACATCTTCGTTATGAACAATGTTCATTACATAGTTCAGAAGGTCAAAAGCTCGCCGGAGCTAATGGAGTTGATTGGAGACAAGTATTTAAGAAAGCTTACCGGGATATTTAGACAGGCAGCCACCAAGTATCAGAGAGCTACATGGGTCAGAGTGTTGAATAGCTTGAGAGATGAAGGATTACATGTGAGCGGAAGCTTCTCTTCCGGTGTATCCAAGAGTGCTTTAAGAGAGAGGTTTAAAGCTTTCAATACAATGTTTGAAGAGGTACACAGGATTCAGTCGACATGGTCGGTTCCAGATACTCAGCTTAGAGAAGAACTCAGGATATCTTTATCGGAGCATCTTATCCCGGCTTATAGATCCTTTCTTGGAAGATTCAGAGGACATATAGAGAGCGGAAGACATCCAGAAAACTACTTGAAATACTCTGTTGACAATCTTGAAACCGCTGTGTTGGATTTCTTCGAAGGATATACCACAGCTCCACATTTGAGACGGTCTCAGTGAAAGAAGGTGAAGAAGAAGATTCATAAAGCTTTCGTTTTCGGTTTACCCACATTAGAATTAACGATATATATCATTCTTTGAATTCTTTCCATTTTAATGTGGCAGTGTTCAGATTGTTCTCCAGCTTCTGGTGAATAGTCTTCACTTATTTGTACCTGTAAGCATATTTGTTGTGTGTTGTTTGTTTGTTACCAAATTTCGATACTCCATTGTTGATATAAATGTTTGATTATTTGTATTTTGTGACTTTTGGTGTACTAGTTTCTTCATAAACACATCTAAATGCAATTTGATTTTTTCTGGTTAATAGTCACAAGTTTCCTCATAATCGCAAGTTCGCAACAACACAAAAGTGTTTTAGTTAAGGGAATCAGGATCAACCAAATATTGGTTTGCTTGTTATAAACCAAACTATAGCGTAAGCCTTCGTTTCCTTCTCTTCCCAAACACATAATTTCAGAAACTTTCAGAGAATTAAAAAAAAAACATAAAAATAAGATTAAAGTATTTAATAATGGTAATATTCTACGAACCTTCTATAGTGATTATCTTCTCCAAGGCAAGCGATTTTTGATGTGTTGGTACAAAATTAGAAAAATTCACTAATCCAATCCCAAGTTTCTTGCACGCTTTAACTATTCGTACACGTGTCTTCTTCCCATATGTTCATTTTCGAAATTTCGCGATCATGGATGGGTGACTTGGTGTCTAGATAGACAGCCTGTCCATTTGTGAAGTGTCTTCAGGTTCGGACCAAAAAAAAATCAGTTCGTATTTTCAGTTTAATATACAAATCAAACAATTTAAATAATTGGATTTGATCCTTGGATAAAAACGCCAGCTCTAAAATCTATGGTACGTAATAAGAATCATATTCATATATGTATCTGTTTTTGTAGACGTAATATATTATGTTTGCAATCAAATTTTCTAAACATTTTAAAACTAACGTTTGCAGATTAACATGGCTGCTAATCAACTAAAAAATACAGTAACAGCTTAGCTGGCGATGACAAACTACTGGCATGACTGGTAATTTCCAAATAATGGCAGCGATTAATTGGTCTAAACATATGCTGACGTGGAATATTAACTAACAAATCAACATTCTCTTATTTCTCCTAGTCATTAATGTATTTACGGTCGACCCAACAAAAAAAAATGTTTTATTTACGGACGACACAAAGGATTTGTTGAAGAGTCTCTTCAAAAAACCTCCTTTAAATTCTGACGATTCTCTTTCTTGATATCTGTCTCTCCAAATCAAGAAATCTCTCCACTCGATCAAAAAGAAGAAGAAAACAAAATCTCTCTCTCGTGTCTTTCTTTTTCTTTTTGTTAAAGAATCTCTCTCGTGTCTTTTTTTCTTTTTTTGTTAAAGAATCTCTCTCGTGTCTAACAAAGCTTGCACTTTAATTTGATCAAAAGTTTAAGCAAAAAAGACAAAAAGAACATCGCTCAAATGATGAATTCTGGGTCTTGCTTGGTTTGAAGTTCTTCTTCCAGAAATTATTTATTGTTCTTCTTAGAAAATGATTTTGTTTTTCGAGCTCTTTTACGGCGAAGCTAAAGTAGCAGAGTGGGAGAAAGAGAGATAGATAGCAAACCCTTTACATACATTTACACGTGTACATATATACATACGTTACACAACAGATTCGAAGCAAAAGGTTAGTAGTGTTTTTTATACGAATCTGATTCGTCTCTGTTTTTTTTTTTAATGGCTAATTTTGATGTTTCTTTGATAACAGAGATATATATGACTGTGAATTTAATGGTGATCACCGAATCCAAGACGTCGGAGATAGAATTTGCGAGATGTGAATGTTGCCGTATGAAGGAGGAATACACGGCGGCGTATATAGAGAGCGTACGGTGTCTATACGCCGGAATATTTATCTGTGGTCTCTGTTCCGAGGCTGTGAAGTACGAGATTTTCCGTTGGGGGAAAAAGAAGAGACAAATCAGCATCGACGAGGCTTTAGCGATTCATATGAAGTTCTGCGGCGAGTTTATTGCTTCTCCCTCTCCGACCGTTGATTTCATATCGGTGGTCGGAGATATTTTCAGGAGAAGATTAATTCTGAATTTGCCAAGGGTCGTGACGTCAGCAGAGCTGTTGCCGCCGACAGTTGACGGTGGAGAGGTTTGTGCTACGGCGGTGATTGGTGGGGCTGGGACTGGGAGCTGTTTACCTGCTTTGCCCGGTGGTGCGTAGATCGGAATATTCTATTTACGGCGAGGTATCTGACAGAGAAGAAGAAAGTGTCCGCGATAGTGCTCTTCTGTAAATAAATGAAGAGAGTTATTAAAAAAGAAAAATCTGGAATTTTAGGGTAATTGGTTTGATTGTATATACTGTACTTGTTTTGTTTCAATGTTAAATGTTGATATGAGTGTTAATTAATTAATGAAAAAATTTTGGTGTGTCAAATATGTTTTTTTTGTGGGTCTTAACTTTATGATTGCACCATACGCATATTGGTAAATAAGACAAAGATTACTAGACCAACGACTTAATCTATAGTAACATGTGTTGTTTTGAACTATTTTTTTTTGCTTTCTAAGAGATACTATTGTTTTACAATTTCAATGTATATTTTTTTTAACGGAAATATATAACTTACTCTAACTTAAAACTAATTATGTTAAATAGTCAACCTTTTCTGTTTCTTTTTTAACAGTCAACCTTTTGTTGTACAACTATGATAGAACATTTTAAGTATTTTTCTTTGCAAATAAAAACATTTAAATTATTTTTCTAATTTGTGTGATACATGTCAAAACGATTGTATTAAAAATATATATTATAATTAATTTTTTTTGTTAAAATATTATAATTATAATATTTTATATATATATTATAATTATATATATTATAATTAATTTTTTCATTTCCTTGTTTATATACTTAGATTTGTGTGAAGGTTATGAATAATAAAAAAGAACAGACTAGAAAGATCAAAGTCGTAATAATTGTTTCCTAATTATTGTTATCATTATTCGTTTAGATAATGTATTTCTTGATGATTAAGTGGATTCTTAACAATCTTGCATGTGCGAGTGCCGAATGGACTAATGATAAGATTGTGATTTAGTGGGACCTTTTTGCTAATATGGTCTTAGTCTTTTTCAGTAATCATTAAATCGATATCGTAAAAATTAGAAGAAGATTTTCTATCTAGGTTCCACTAATTTAGCCGACTTCCACGAAATAAACGTTCGCATCACCATAAACGAACGAATAATGCTTCGTAATATGCTTATTAATATCCAAAGGATGGTTTTCTTGTGTCTTACGTATACTTGGATTTGTTACTAAGTTGACAAAAGAGTAATAATGGCTCCGACTGGTAACCATTAAAAGAACAAAAAAAAATTGAATAAAAAAATAATGCTGAATGGAACAAACAATTTTTGAGTAATGAAAAGGAAAAGATGCAGAGAATGAATAAAATGTACTATTATGATTTATGATGAATGGTAACCAAACAATAAAAATATCTTTATAGATATATTAAATAGTAAATAAATCAAATTTCAATGAAAAAATACTAAATATTTTTTATATTTAATTTGAAACTAAAATTTGTGAACTAAATTTATATATATATCATTTTAAGTAATAATATTTAATAGAGAAATTGCACTAAATAACCTAAAAAAAAACAAATTAAATATCTAACCTCTAACCCCCTATTCACTCTCTTTCTCTTCCTATCTCTCTCTACCCTTCTTTCTAAAAAACTAATTTTTCTTTTTTTGGGTTATTCACCTAAATCACCCTATTTAATATTAACATAAAATAAAATTGAAAGAGTAATTTAAAATATATTATTCTTTTACAATATAAAAAATTTTAAATTTATTTTATTATTTATATAATTTTCAAATGAAGACTTAAGAGTAATTCAGCATAAAATTCTTATCAAAAATATTTTTTCTGTTAATATATTGTGAAGATATGAAAATTACTATATAATAAAATACAAATATTATTTTTTATTTTAAAATAAAAAAACGAATTTTAATATTTGTTCCTTTTTTGTTCCATATCAATTTTGGAGAGAAACATTTTTGTTCTAGTGTTTCTTTTTTGGTGAGGAATGTAGAAAAATGGTGTGGAAAAAATATTACTTGTAAATGGTAAAAATATTGAGGAACAAAGAGAAATATCACATTTCTTCTCATTTTTTTTCCTAAATTATGGTTACCAATTGAAGCCAATATATTTTTATTACTTGGGTATATATTTTTAGCAAACCGTTATTTGTATCGATTTTTTTTTTTTTCATCATTTGTATCGATATCTAATTTATTATCTATCTACTCAGCATCTGCATCTTTAAAAAATATGACTGATGCTAAATTGATAACATCAGGAAACGATTTATGTTACAGTTAGACGTATGATTAGTCCGATTTATCTTTAAATTAATTATCAGAATATAATAATTATTTATTATTATTATTATTAAAAGCGTAATCATCTTTGAACGTTAAAGTCCAAGGCTGCGAAGCCCATACAATACAAGCATTGAACCAACATAACATTAACCGGTAAATCTTTGAGAATCTAACCGAAGTTAATTCCTTGCGCTAGAGGTAACTCGTTCCCATAGTTGATCGTACTGCCAAAAGATAAACCGATTTAATGAATCAGAAATCAGAAACTTAAACCGGAAATTATGAAAAAGAAAAGAGAAAAAACTTAAGAATGTTACCAAGTGGACCGACGCATGTACTGTTTCCATGAGTCGCTTCCAGCTTCACGACCACCACCAGTCGCTTTCTCGCCTCCAAAGGCTCCACCAATCTCAGCTCCATTCGTCGGTATGTTCACATTCACAATGCCACAATCACTTCCCAGTGGTCTAGTAAAACCATCACAGTGAAATTAGTTTCATTAGATTAACCGGAAAATTTGAGAATTTATGGTTTTCGTAGCACTTACCCGATCCACCTGAAGATGTTTTCGGGGTTACGAGTGAATATCGAGCTGCTTAGACCTTGAGGAACCGAGTTGTTTATCGCAACAGCTTCTTCAAATGACTGTCCAGAAGAAAATTAACTTTGTTAAGGCCTATTTCTGAAGAAAATAGATGATTTAAGAGAGTGCTACTATTACCTTAAACTTTAGAACATATAAAACCGGACCAAATAGCTCTTCTTTAACGACAGCAGCATCTGCTGATATCTCGATTATTGTTGGCTCCACAAAGTTTCCTTCACCTTCGACTGCTTTACCGCCCGTTAGTATTTTACCGCCCTGCAAATACAAGAGGGGTTTTAAGTGACAGTTGAAAAGGTTAAAACTTTTTTAGCGGCTCTTGATTATGCAGCAAAGCAAAGAAAGTGAGGGACGTGCCTGGGATTTGATGACTTCAATTCCTTTCTCAAAGTTCCTTTTTGATTCAGGAGTATGCAATGGTCCTAACAATGTCCCTTTCTCAAGAGGATTACCGATTTTGACTTGTTTGTATGAAGTAAGCAGTTGCTCGAGTACTTTGTCATAGACACTCTCATGCAAAAGCTTCAAATACAAGAACAACATTTAGAGTATTGAGCAAAAGGAATAGTAGTAGCAACAAGCTATAAGGGGATTAGATTTTGTTACCAGCCTACGGCAAGTTGTGCAACGTTGACCAGCAGTTCCAACCGCAGCAAATAGAACAGATCGAGCCGCTAACTGTATGTCAGCGTCGTCCATGACTATGATTGCATTATTTCCACTCAGTTCAAGTAAAGTTTTGCCAGATCTCGCATTCACTGTTTGTTGTACCATCAAGCCCACCTATGCATAATCCAAATATTCAAACAGAAGACAATGAGCGACGAATAAGCTCAGTGTGTTTGGTTGGGTGGTGGATTATAGTAAAAGTAAGTACCCTGGAGCTTCCAGTAAAGGATACTAAGGGAATGCGTGTGTCTTTCGCTATTGCTTCACCAATTTCAGCACCACCACACATGGCCGTAAAAATGGCACCAGGTAAATTGTTCTTCTCTAAAACTTCAGCTACTAGCTTGGTCATTGCAATAGTGATCAACGGTGTAGTTGGAGCACCTTTCCTGTGGAATCACATGTATTACTATTAAGTATTAACTACACTAATCAAACCAATAGAAATTTTTATTGTCAAGACTAATGTCATGTCACTATTATGCAATATGATTTTTTTTTTTGTTAATAGCAATGTGGCACTAAGGATACGTTTATGCAACATTGAGGATCAATGGACATAGACAGCAACTAGAAACAGTATATATTGTTAATTCAGCTTCTTGTAGTAATTTTAACCTCTCAGGAGCTACTAGGTACTCAAAGCTTAATTCAGAGTCAAAGTCGTTATTTACCAGACTACACAGTTTCCACAGACCAGTGCAATACAAGCATTCCAACCTGCAATACCACAAAATTGTCCATAAATGCAGGGAAAAGAAAGCGGAAACACAAAGTTTTCCATATCACATTATAAGTTAAAAAAACTTCTCAATTGGCTAAATCATAGTGTGGCAAATTTAGGTGCCACAATAAGAGTAGGTTCAGCAAACTCTATTGTGTCCACTTTCATGTGAGAATTAAATAATGAATTTGCAGAGCTACGAAGAAGCATGGCAGACTTTAATGAGCAATATCGTGTTATATCGTTTCTCTGTTTTGTGAGGCGTGCTCATAAAGATTTGAAATTAGACAGAAGACTTACCAAGAACTGCACAGGGAAAATTAAACGCTGTGATAACACCAACAATGCCAAGAGGATTCCACATCTGCGTTACAATGTTCAAGCCGAATGTTAATCATCTCTTAAGAAATGCATCCACAAAAATCCGACAAAACAAACTTGCAATTCACCTCCAACATCATGTGGTTAGGGCCTGCAACGAAATAAATGATATGAGTCTAGAGAAAAGTCTTTAAATAAGATAGGAGACGAAACGAAGGAAAAAAGCATCTCCAAATCCAAGTGCCTTTTAAGGAGATATTTGAGAAAGATATAACAAATCTAGGAGGATAAATGCTATATAAGGAACTCACGTTCGGAAGGTATAACGGATCCATTGAGTTGCCGGCTCAAACCAACAGCAAAATCACACATGTCAATTACTTCCTGCAAAGTTTTGCAGAGTAATATTTGTAAAATGCGTCACAAAGATCTAAATGTATGAATGAAAAAGAAACAAAGCAATGCAGAGTAAAGAGACCTACCTGGACTTCTCCGATGCCTTCAGCAAGGATCTTTCCCATTTCAAGTGAAAGAAGACGACCAAGATAGTCAAGTTTGGATCTTAGTGCATCTCCAATCTGTCTCACAATATCGCCTCTCTTAGGAGCCGTAACCTGCATCCATATTTTGGCTGCTTCCTCGCAGGCTTTCAAACCTTGCTCGTAATCTTCTAGAGAAGCTTCCACAACTTGAGCAATTGGCTGCATCAGTCCCCAAAAAAAAAGTGATTATTGAGCACAACAACAACATCATCGAAACATTATCAATCCAGATTGGAAAGTATTTCATCAACAAGAACATGAATCACATCTCTTAATTTTGATCTCCAGAAGCATTCACTATCGATTCTCTTCTCCAATTATAAGAAGAAAGCGAGAACCTGATTGTTAGCCGGATTGAAAGTGGAAACAAGAGGTCCGTTTGCTTGCCATTTGCCAGCAACGTAAGATCCCAAGTTGTGAGAGGTCAAGCCAATCTCACTCAGAAACTCGTACTCATTGTTCGCTGAACCCATCTCTGCCAACAAAAAACCAGAGAAATTGATGATAAGAAAGCCAGAGAAAATCCAGAACTGAAAGATCAAAGAGAAATCACCTAAATGTGGATCGTATCGAAGAAATGAGCTTCTGATCACGGAATCTTAAAAAGGAGTGAGAGAGAGAGACGTGTACGTCTTTTGGTAAAAAAGCTGAAACAACAACAACAAAAACAACGATTGATTTACTATTGGATTGATGAAGACGAAAGCTGAGCTGCTGTGTCCATCCTTAGCCATTATTTTTGGCTTCACTCCAATAAAATAATTATGGTTTTGTGTCACGTGTCCCATGCTGAGTTGCTGTACCAGGCCTGCCTCATCTGGCCCGGCCCATTAAACGAATCAACTTTCGGTTTACGGGTCAAACAAATAAACCCACCCGCGAATTCACCCGACGCAACCGATCTTTTTCCTATCGATTTTGCGTCAGGAGAAATCGCTTCCCTGATCGATCGTTGGATTTAAATCTCACTAGCCCCTTTAGGGACAATCAATTTTTGGAAAACCTTTTTTTATTCTCACTATCCCTTTTCCTTTCCAATTTTTTCATAAACCAACTTTACCCTTTATCCTTTAATTTTACATTTAATTTAATTCCAACACATTCTTTATTCAACCAATCAAAAACTTTCTCTCTCTTCTCTCATTAAAATACAAACCTACCAAATATCTCTCTTTTACGACATTAAACCCCACGAGACTTTCTTCTTCTTTGTAGCTCCGACGTTCTTCAGCAGCTTCGACGTTCTTCAGCGGCTCCGACGTTGCAGCTCCAACTCCGACATTGCAGCTCCGACGTTCGTGTTCTTCTTCTTCTTCTCCATCCACCATTGAAGCTCATCATTAAAGCTTACGATTTTGCATCTCCAAAGACATATCTCTTCTCTTCTTCTTCTTCTATTCCCACCATACTGTAAGGTAAGTATACTCGTTTTCTTAGTGTATTATGATTAAGTTGAATTTGTAGCTTGAATAGGGTTATTTGTTGACATATTTTAGGATTGCAGATTTGGGACAACCGAAACCACTGGGTACAACTAAGTAGAATATTTACGGAAACCCTAAGTTTGGTACAACCGAGACAAATGTGTACAACTATGTTGATAGTCTGCTACAAAAATTATGAAATTATAGGCCGTTTTTTCTCTCTTTCTTTTTCAGGGACAATGAAAAGGAATTCAGTCATACGCTTTTCTTATGACAGATACTATACAAGTATCGGAGAAGATGTACATTGGATTTCTAATGGAGAAGATGAAGAAGTGTATTCTTTTCTTATGAATAAATCGAAAGGGGAAGTATCATATGTTAAGATGGTTGAGAAGATTTGCAAGAAGAAAAAGGTAGATGAGGCTACGACAAAGCTGAGAGTTAGTTACTTTCCCTTCACATCCGGTTCCCCATAATAGTCAATGGGTTAATTTAAGAAACAATGTTGTTTGTATTGGTTTTGTTTGTGAAACTTATATGTTCTGTATTGTACAACTAAGTTTTAGTAAGTATAACTATGGTTGATTTCTTTCTCGTATCTGTGCAAATTTTGTCAGTCTTGGTACAACTAAATACCACAGGTACAACTAAGATCTAATGTCTTAGCCAATTTTCAAAATTTTATATAATATGAAAATTTAAAACCAAATTAACAAAACGTAAAGAAGGCATACACGCTGGTAATGAAACTACACAACAAGTTTTTGACAAAAAAATTCATATTTTTAATAAATACTGAAATTCTTACTCAAAATCCCACATTCATACACTAACAACCTTATTGTTTCATGGTTACTTTGTAGATTTGAAGTAAAATTTTATAAATTTTTGAAATACTTGTATTTTGATAAATATAAATGCACAGATACAAAGTAATGATATTTTTATGAGGCAATGCCATCGGTTCCACCAACAAAAATTAAATTAGAATTGATAACAACTAGATTCACTAAAATCTCTATATTGTACAACTATGCGCAAAAATGTGCAACCGGGTACAACTGTACAACTATGGACAAATCTCTGCTATTATTTAATAATTTTTTTCAAAATAACGGCGCCAAATATGCCATTTGTCAGAACTTTTTAGATATTTAGATATTTTCAGATATTTCACTGTTTTTTTTGTTTTTTTTCCAAAACCTTTACAAACCTACATATTTGTTAGATTTTTTGATTAATTTAGATTTTTATTTTTTAGTTCAAAACTCTTAGATTATATTCAATACATAGATTCATACATAAAAATAATAATTCAGATTAAAAGATTCATACATAATTATATTTAGATCCAAAGATTTATACATAATCAAAAAACATAAACCCAGAAACATAGTTGTACCTAATCATTCCAGTTGTACCTAAACACTTAGATTTATACATCAACATCAGAGACCAGAAAACAAGCAGAACTCATCATCAGAGACCAAAACAGGAGCCAAACTCTTCTCTTGCTCCTTCTCCTTCTCCTTCTCCTTCTAGAACAAGGTGGTTCACTTCTAGAACTAGAAGCTAAACAAGCAATCCAAACACAAACTCACATAATCTCATTATCTATCTACATAATTATAAGAGATACAGTTTGGGTTTTCAACAAATTTCAAATCAGAAACACATTTAAACATATTTTGAATATATCTAAAGTAATTCAAATCTGAAAATGGAGAGAAATTCAAATCGAAAATTGGGACAAAGTGAATTTTAGAGGAGTAGAGAGAGGCTTTGCTCTATACCAATTTTCGCCCCAAACAACGACCAAACTTCTTTGTAGCAAATCGATAACCTTCAGACCAACAATCTTCACTAACCCACAGCGATAAACGGAAACCGGACCAAAACAAACGGGAGAATCGAAGAAAAGAGGTTGGGCTACGGTGAAATGACCTAATTTCTTCACAGCAGAACGAGAACCTTCAGATAACAATAATGGAAACTTGATGGAAACTTCGACCGAAACAAACAGGGGAATCGAAGGAAAAGAGCTACGGTGAGCTACAGAGAGCTACAGTGAAATTGTTTTTTGGGTTTTGTGAATTGTGAAATAGGAATGTTTTCCTAAGAACACAAAATCGAAAACCCTAGAAAAGTGAATTTTAGAGGAGTAGAGAGAGGCGAGAGATCAACGTCGATTCGTTACTTTTTTTTTAGAGAAAAGGGAAAAAAATTTTAGGATTAGGGATTTGATTTTGGGACTTTGCTATTTTGAGATTTTTGGGGTTAAATGATCCAAAATCCGATCCAACATATGTGGATCTAGATCCAAATTGAGGTTGAGTCAGTAAATAAATCGAAAACCGAAGTTTTATTTGTCTTTTACTATTTTTCAGAATTAAAATAATTAATTTAACACTAGTTTTTTATTTCGGGGGCTAACTAGAGAATGTTTTGAGCAGAGGGGGCCGATGAGAATTTTATCCTCGATCGTTGAGCCTTTGAACATAAGAATCCAGAATTTTTCAAAAGTTCTCACTTTGCATGAAACCTTCAAAAGTTCTCATAGTTGAATGATCTATGATGATAGAATAAAATTCAGCTTTAGGAATAAGAACACTGTGAATTTCCTAATCAGACAGAGTGAACCCTTTGTTAAAGAATCTGTCTTTTCGTTGATGCTAGCCAGTGGCAGAGGATTGGAGGTCAATTCAATATTGGAATTAGCCAGTTTTCTGTAATTCGTCGGCATGTCAGTGAAATTAGTTCTGGTAATAACAGCTTCAGTGTGATACTTGAGTATTGTGCTCTTCTGGGTAACTGGATTACATGAACACAGAGGTTATCTTATAATGGGAATCAGCAAAACTGAGATCAGTTTGCGGAGATTACTTTCAGCTGCACCTAATCAGCAAAATCAGTCTAAGCTTATACATGTATGTCTTTTGGATTTTCATTTATAAACTATTATATTTGTGCTTATTATAACCTCTGATGCTAATGGTAATTTTGATGTTGTAGTATGTTGCTACTTTGAGGGAACAATTAGAACAACTCTCTGAAGAGAAGATCCCTCAAGGGCTTCCCAGGTTACTTACTCTCTCATTGTTTCAGCACTGCAATTTAAATCTTTAACAGATAAGTGAGTTGAAATCAATGCTTTGTTTACAAGATTTCTGCTTTTTTTTGGTATTTGAATGTTGAAAAGAGCTTCATCTCTTTATAGGATCAAGGGTTTAGAGATTCGAATTGAATTACTTGGTATTATACTCAGTTCCAACTTGGCCATAGACTAGAATAATTTTTTTTTTGAAATTTGCTCAATTGTTGTGACAGATTAGGGTGTCACTATTTGATGCTACCAAAGTAGCCAAGTATCCAGTTTTTCCAATCTTGATTTTATTTAATGCGCTTATCTGCTCCTGTGATCTCTTGACCAGAGTTACAAAGGCTAAGGTGAATGAGTACTATGAGAAGATTGAAGCTGTTGCTTCAAGAATAGCTGCTCAAGTGGTAAGTCATCTGAACTTGAAAGAGATTGTTCTGTTGGATTATAAAACATTTAGGCATTTGGTCTGAGGAATTGTTTAAAGTTTGCTTTTTTATTGCCCCATGAGTTTAGTTTCAGGCATGCATGTTTTGGTTTGTTCCTGTGTAGAACTATTTTAGTTGCAATTTCAAGGTTTGCTTCTGTAACTAATACCAAGTTATTGGTTTTTGCCAAATATACAGACTGACACAGAGTTATCTTATGAAATTTTTGCAAAGGATTCGACCAGCGATAGTTCTCCCAAAATAGAAGACGATACACAAAGCCCCACTTCTCCACAGCTGAGAAGAAGAATCGTGTAAGTGCAATACTTGATTCACATGCTTCTCAACTTGTAAATTTTTCCTTTATTTCTTAGCAACTTCCTTGATTGAGGTAGGCCTGCAAGTTCCAAGGAGCAAAGCTATGACGCTGATCCCTCAAAACCAATAAAACTAGACACCGCAGCTCAAGTGCGCATTGACAAGCAGAGGTAGATATTCATAGATCACTGAGAAAAAACTAGGATCTCATTTGCTCTAAGCACTTTTCTTATATAAACAAAATTATCGCCAAGAGTATAAAGTTGTATGCTTTTGAATTCGAGTTGAATTTGATACTTCATGTCACATTGGTGAATCATTTGATGACAGAAAGCTTCAAGAGGATCTAACCGATGAAATGGTGGTACTTGCGAGACAACTCAAGGAGAGAAGTCAAATGATAAGCCAATCTGTGCAAAATACAGAAAAGGTGAGATGCTATCATTTTCTTTACAAAACACATGTACTTACTATTATCATCAACAATGGGATAAGAGAAGAATCTATATCGGTTCATATATTGTTTCTACTAGCTTCATTGTTCTTTAACATTTTTCTGTTTTTTCTTTATTGTTGATTTATTAACAGATACTTGACTCTACAGAGGAAACCATTGAGCAAAGCTTGGCAAGCACCGGACACGCAGCCGTAAGAGCCACAAAGATATATATTCAGAAAGCTCAAAAACAAGTTGCTTCCAGACTTCCAGTGGCTCTTGATCTTCGCCATGACCTGTGTGTTCATAATGGTTGTCCTGTTGATCCGAGTCACATAGAAAATGGTTCCTAGTGTAAACCAAATTAGTGAAATTTAAAGAACATTACACTCTCCTTATCATACAATTTGTTAAGCCACATCTCACCCTTGGCGTTTAACTTTTAACGCAAAACAAAAAAAAAAAAAAAAAAACTTTACCGTTTGACTTTGGTTTAAACAACGAGTCAACATTTGGTTTCCGGGTCAAATAAAGCCCACCCAATCCAATTAGGATGCTAATTAAGCAAGTTATGATTCCGACACAAGTGTGATTATTTCTCACAGATCGAAGAAAACGGTTTTGCTGATCAGAGATCACGTCGATTCATATCGGTGAGCATCTGAAACCCTTTGATTCAGTCTCGTCTGATAGAAGAAACCAGAATCCTAGGGTTTCAGAAATTCTCACGTTGCTTGAAACCCTAGGCCCCTTTCCTGTTTCAGCTAAATTACGCATGGCGGCTAAATCATTGTGTTTATAGAATTCAAGTCTTCAGATTTCGAGAATGAGAGCTGTGAATTTTCTATATAGCTCGAGTAATCCCAAATTTCGGGGGATTTTTAATGGGCTTTGTGCAATAGTCCTATTCATCTTCTTCTTTGATCAGAGCGATATACTCAGGAACCCTTTGTTAAAGAATCTGTCTTTCGTTGATTCTAGCGGCAGAGGATTGGTTTCTCCAGGTCAATTCAGTAATGGGTTTAGCCAGTTTACTGTAATTCGTCGACATTTGAGTGGTTCTTTTGGTAATAGCAGCTTGAGTGGTGATACTACTGTATCTTGCTCTGGGTTACATGAACACAGAGGTTATGTTGATCAATGCGAGTTCTTGATATCGAATCCGATTTGTTCTCCAGATGGGTTCTTTGATTACCTCAAGTACTTTTACTGCTCCTGCAGAGATTTTAAGATCTTGGGTTATTTAGTGTTAGGGGTTTGGCTTGTTGCTTTGTTTTATCTTTTGGGTAATACTGCTGCTGATTACTTTTGTTGTTCGTTGGAGAAGCTTTCTAAGCTTTTGAGGTTGCCTCCAACTGTTGCTGGTGTTACTTTGCTTCCACTTGGTAATGGAGCTCCTGATGTGTTTGCGAGTATAGCTGCTTTTGTTGGTTCAGATAAAGGGGAAGTGGGTCTTAACAGCGTCTTGGGTGGTGCGGTGTTTGTAACTTGTGTTGTTGTTGGGATTGTTTCGCTTTGTGTTGCGGATAAAGAAGTTAAGATCGATAAGAAATGTTTCATCAGAGACTTGAGTTTCTTCCTTTTCACATTGGCGGCTTTGATGGTGATTTTGATGGTCGGTAAGGTGACTGTTCGTATCGCCATTGCGTTTGTCTCGATCTATGTCCTTTATGCTTCTCTCGTGGCTGCGAATGAGATTTTGAGGAAACATTCAAGGAGGTTGAAGCTTGATTCTATTACGCCTTTGCTCCCAATGCAGGGAAGTGTCTTCTCCCCAAGTGTTGAAGAGGATATTCCTATGTACAGCCCGTTGCTAGAACTTGAGACCGAGGAAGGTCCACCTCGGCTACATGATTCTCTACCACAGTGGATGTGGGCTACAAATGTAGCCATCTATTCAAACCATTTCGCAAAAGCCAATGTACATGATGAAGAAAGACCTCCATGGGGATGGACCGAAGATGGTGCAGAAGTCGAGAGCTCGTTATGTTCTAAATTCACATCTTTGCTTGAAACTCCACTGACTGTTCCTAGACGGTTGACAATCCCGTTGATTGAGGAAGATAGCTGGTCAAAGACGTATGCTGTGGCTAGTGTCTCGTTGGCTCCTGTCCTACTTTCCTTTCTTTGGAGCAGCCAAGATGATACGAGTCTTCAAGCTCGGATTGTAGCCTATTTTATCGGAATTGCGATTGGATCTACTCTTGGTTATCTCGCGTACAAAAACACAGAGTCCGATCGTCCGCCTCAAAGATACTTAATCCCTTGGGTACTCGGTGGATTCATCATGAGCATCGTATGGTTCTACATGATTGCAAACGAACTTGTTGCACTTTTGGTTACATTTGGTGGAATCTACGGAATCAACCCGTCGATACTCGGTCTAACCGTACTTGCTTGGGGAAACTCAATGGGTGATTTAGTGTCGAACATCGCATTGTCGATGAACGGTGGAGATGGGGTACAAATCGCATTATCGGGTTGCTACGCAGGTCCAATGTTTAACACGCTTGTTGGGTTAGGTATGTCGATGTTTCTTGGTGCTTGGTCGAAGAGTCCAGAGACATACATGATCCCTGAGGACAATAGCTTGTTCTACACTCTAGGGTTTCTAATATTCGGATTGATTTGGTCTCTTGTGATGCTCCCACGCAACGAAATGCGACCGAACAAAGTGATGGGAATTGGTCTGATTGCACTGTATCTGATATTCGTCACTTTCAGGCTCAGCTCAGCCATGGGATTCGTACCTTGGGCTTCTTAAAACGCCATTGTTGCCAGCTTTGGTATCAGTTTATTGTATACTACTATACATGTTGTTAGAGATAGCCACTGGTTCTGAAGTAAATGTTGTTTGTAGTTTGTACTATGTTGATGCAAGTGATAATGAATCTGAGCCGTTGAATCTAGGTCGTTGTGGTAGATCTCGATCGTAGATTGGGACAAATGGATAATGTATTCGAAAATGGAGACTAATGGGCCTTGTTAAATGGGCCAAGTCTTAATAAACTCAATAATGTTGCCCCACTTGTTTCGTTTTCTTCCACTTGTACATCGTCGTCACATGGTAGGTAGTGAGATATTCATATTCGTATCGAAAAATTAATTGTTTATCTGATTTTCAATTTTCATGTTACGTAACACACTAACACAGAAACATACTTTTTTAGTTTTTTTTTTTCTTAAAATAATTTATAAAGTGTTGAAGAAAACAAATTATATCAAGATTTGTTTCTCGAATAGACGAGTTTAACCAATAACCAATTATATTATCATACACTTTGTCTTTGTGTATATAAACTAATAAATATTTGGACATTGTTATCCTTTTATTTTAGCAGCAACGAATTGTATTGGATATATCATGTACTCTCAATCCACACAGAAAATAACAAGAAGTTAATGACAAAAGAAAGAAGGACAAGAAGTCAAATATATCATTTTCTTGGTGAATAGTTTCCGAATTACACTATTATATAGCAGCATCCTGTAATTGATTCTCTCGCATTTAAGTGAATAGAGAACAAAATGGGTCCAAAGAGTAATGTAAGTATTTGTCGTCGTGGAGACCAAGGCGTAAGGTTAGTCATTCATGTAGTAGAGTAGAGACTTGTCTACTTATATATGCATTTGTATATTTCTCTCTTGCGCATGAAGTAAACGTATTATGTCATAGCTTATGTCACTTGACCCTCTTAGAAGTAGTATATAATATTTAACAATTTTGAATTGATATATACCATATATATCATAATCTCGTAACATTATATAAGTACTAATATATAATAGTGTTTGAATATGCTCAACTCAGGACAAGACATCTAAGAACATGTTATATCTTATTGCTCTGTTCTCGCAAAATGACAACTCTGACACTCATATGAGTTGTGTTTAATTATTTTTGGGTTTATATATATGCTTTTTTGTTGTTTTTACTGACCAGTTTAACGTTGGATTTATATATATGTGCATAACAATTAAATTATATGTGAAATATATATATCACCAGATCTAAAAACATTAGTATATATATATATATATGGTCGATACTCATGTTAAACAAATAGAGGATCGCTTGTTTATGAAAAGAAAACAGAGAATTTAGTATATGTAATTTTATTTTTATATTCACAAAAAAAAATCATTCTTTGGATTTAAAGTTGTATTCGAACTTCAAGTTTTATATGATAATGATATATTACCATGTTTTGTGGACCACAATATAATATATATCCAATTAATAAACATTAAGTTGAAGACAAACTCAGCGACTCATCTTCACTCAATCATTGAAATTTCCTGTTATCACAGAATTGTAATAAAACATACCAAAATAAGAAGACATGTGAGTGTTAAAAAATTACAGAAATTGTTTTATGATTCAAAAAGGGAAGACATGAAAACAAGTTCATGCTCTCTACATAACTAAATCGTCTTTCCTTTGCAATATTATTGGAAACAAACCAAGACATAAATGTGCTGCCCATTTCTAATCAAATTAATATATACCTCTCAATTTCTCCCTATCTTCCTTTATTTATTTTTTTCAAGTATAATCTAACAAATTTTGTACTCCGAAAGAATACATACATATGAGACTGATGTGTGGTCCAGTTGAGTTTTATGACAAAAATGTCGTGACATATAGGCCATATCCCTTAAATCAAAATTGCATATACTAACAAGAACTAATTAAAATGTATTATATCAATTTACAACCATAAAATAGTACTGATGACAAAAAAAAAAAAAAAACCATAAAATAGTACTAACTTACGAAAAATATCACATGTCACATGAAAGGTCACTGACCCCAAAACTAAAATGTATACACAATTTTATATACATGTATATGTGTGTATATATTAGTTTCTCAATATGCCTCTCTAAAACATAACGAATCTCTCTTTCTCTCTCTCTCTCTCTTTTTTTGTCAAAAATTTACTATCCAAATGGATCCACGCATCGCCGCAACACCCTTATTCCGGTGGTCTAGGACTAGGAGTCGCCGGAAGATTCATCTCCGTCGTCGTAAGTGGCAGGTGGTACGTCTTGGCGGGAAGAACAATGCGGTGTCACGTGGCGGATTCTCATTAAAGAAGATGGTAAGGAAGATGAAGCTGAGATGGTTGAAGCTACACTACGTGAGACTTGTGAAGAAGATCAAAGGGTTTTATCTTAATTTAGTTAAGGAGTTCGTAGACGCAGGAGCTGAGCTTGAAGCGATTCAGCAGCGAATGGCGGTTGAAGCGGCTGCGTTTGCGGTTCCCGGTTTAGGTCTCTCTTTCTCTTCTTTTTCAGTCCATGACCGAGCACGGTATTTTCTTGTATAGCCAAACATTATATTCATTGTACCTTTGTATTATTTTTGCTGTTGTATTTTATAACTATTTTATTTTGATTTCTTATTTTTTCGAATCATCCCTGGAAAATGAGACTGTTATCAGTATATGGTTATATATTTTACTATGTACGATTTGTTAGATCTATACATATTAAACAAAATAACATTTCATAAACTGTAAATGACCTGTATGTATGCAAAAATAATAATAATCTTATGTTAGAAAATCTGCAATTCAGTATAAGTCTTTCTCCCTCTATTACAAAGTATTTTCGACTCACTCTGGTGAAAATAAAACTGTTTTTGTTATAACCTAATAATTAAAGTTTTATTTTTCTAAATGATGAAGATTTACTAATTTTCGTTATTCTAACCAACAAAACTAATTTTTTATTATCTACAATAAGTGATATATATATCATACATCAGATCAAGCGAACAAGTTAACACCAATAGTGAGAGATTTTTACATATAAAGCACTACTACTTTGATAAAGATAAGAGAATAAGTAAAGAAATGATTTTTTTTTCTTTTTTTCTGCAACAAGGTTTTTCATTTTACAAAATTAAATTACAAAGACTTTTATGAGTGTATGGGGCTTGGTGTAACGTGATTGATCATGGAATGAGATGAGATAGTTATCTTGTATTTTAAGTGATTGAGTTAAGGTGGCATGACTTGCTGGAAATGCAATCATCAGACTATGAATTATTATTTGATATTCAGATCTTATATTGATACTGTACTCTGATCTTACATGACAAACTCGTCGCTTCCCCATAAAAAAATAAAATTCGAATATTTAAACACTTATTTGGACTTTGGGCGATTGCTTTAGATTCGAGAATCTCTATGCTTACATATTACTAGTATATATACCACCACCAACTTGAATTAATTCTCAGTTTTCCACATTTGAATGACTGTATATATGTATCCGATAGGATTCAGTTATTCACGTACAGTTACAAAGTTATTATGTAAAACATCTCAATTTCTCATATATACTATTTAATCATGCATTTTAATATAATTTAATTATTTAGTTATTTTTTTGATTATATGAATTTTTTGATAATGTTGTATAGTACATAACAGATGGGGTTTTAGCATGTTTTCAACCGAGAAATGTATCTCTTTTTATCTCATACCTTTCTATTACCTTTGATTATTTAAATTCTAAGAAATCCAGTGAAAATCACCGTGAAAGTACTCTAAGAAATAGAATCGTAATAAGTTGAATCCCCTTTTCACGGTTTCTTTGCCTTTTGTTCTGATCTCGAGGAGCCCAAATAAAACTGATCTTCTCAAACTTCTCTAATTTTTCGTATACGTTAGTCTAATGCATGGAGTTGGCAAATGGATTTGGTTGTCATCATATCCAAGAGCATACCTATCTATATTTTGGTTATTAGTTTTGGTTTCGATCCATTTGGTTAGCTCATAATGCGGGTTCCAAACCACGAGCCTAGTGTTGTCCCTTAGTGACACATAACAATAAGCCTCGTAGTAAAAGATGCTAGTTATCAATACTTATCAAGATTATTCTTTCTTCCCTATTCTCTTAGTCGATAGATCAATGTTTTTGGCGTGGATCATTACAAGGAGATTGACTTGAAGTTTAACTCAATATAGAGAAGAAAAAGATAAAAACTCAAGCTTTCATTATTTCAACTTAGAGAAAACCCTAATACAAGCTCTGGTTTTTATATAGGAACAGAGAGAACAATCTAGAACTTGATGACCTGTCAGGTGACAGCTCTCTACACAAGATCCGATAAGGATGCGAATCTATTTGATAGCTGGATTTGATGAGGTGTCTCAGCCGTACTTTTCCCATGTAAAGCTTGTGCCTTTGTTTTGTTCTTGGTCAAGGTTACGGTTGGAGCTTCCTTTGACTGAGACTTGGGCTCTTCATGGGCTTCGTTCTTGTGGGCTGAACTTGTTGATGTAGAGGCTTTAATATGACGCTCATAAAACAAACCCTAAAATCATACATCATGACCACCGGATATCGCCTTGCATGTTATGCCATCGGTTGCAACTGAATAAAGCATTCCATCGTTTGCAACTGAATCTCACTGCTCTCGGAAATGCCAATGGAACCCTTCAACACTAGAGTATCTTCTCTACCAAAAGCCTTCTACGCTTGCCCTTTGTTAATGTAATGTGTTTTATGGATCTCATAAATCCGCTAGACTAATAGCCCAATGCAATGAAAATGGGCCTTAAAGTTCGCTCGTTATGCGTTTCTTCTTTGGAGATAAAAAAAGCCCATAAGATCACCACCGGTCCACAGAAACGCATTAAATTACAGACTAAACCGGAAATAAACACGTTGTGACGAATGGTACGTTAGTTATTTACGTGGTTGCGTGGAAGAGAAGAAGTTCCACGTGGTGGCTAAAGTTTGCACGTTGCCTCTTAACACTTTTGCTTCTAACGTAACCACTTCTAATTTTTGTTTATTTTTCGAAAATCGCCTCTCCTTTTTATAAATTTTCACGATATTGAACTTTCTTTCCAATGTAACCAAAATTAGAAGAAGAGATCATATAGTTACT